CCCCTGCTGACGCAGGGGTATTTCATGGGGCCCGTTACTTTTTTTTGTGACAGAGATTAGCGTATTATAAGTAGGAAAGATGAACAAAACATAAATATTTTAATATTAAATGAATTACTTTGTATATTTAAAGTAAAGTGTGGTTTTGCAGCACAGCGTAATAAGCCAGATTAAAAATTTATTGACTTGATTAAAATTAATTTCTTTCTCTTTTATCGTTATATAATCATTATTTAAAACTTATCATTTCTCTATTTCTCTATTTGATTTATTATAATTAGTGTCATTTGTATTATTTATAAAACGGAATGTGTCGAAATTAAATTTGATTAGAAAATATTTTAACCGATCAAACTTTCACGCCATTAATTTAAATGAGTATGGAACACGTGGTTCATTACGAAGAAAATTATAACAGACAAATAGTGAAAATAATCAGTGAATTTATCATAAACTTTTTGTCAAAACTATCATTTTTCTTTTTGTACTAATTATTAAAATACAGTATGAGAGTTTATTAGAATTATTGCTCAAGCTGTTTCATACTTTTGCTATGGGCATTCGTGTTATCACTACTTAACAATAAACATTAGAAAAATTAAAAAAAAATTTTTTCAACGAAATAGTTATGCCAAATTGTAGAATAATATGTAGAAATTATAAATGAGCAATAGTGTTAGCCGAATATTTGCAAATTTTCTATGACATTAATAAGCAGCATAGAATCGATAATACATTAATTGATGCCTTTATTCGATCCATCATAACAAAAATGAGTGTCACAAAATTATTAGTAAAGTTACAATAATAGTTATACGTACCTTAATAATATCTCTATTCGTACCATGGATTTTTTATCTAAAGTGCTATGGGAATAGCATAAGTGTTGTACACATTTCGATTACTAGAAAAATTTGCATCTGGGGTTATGCCCTCACCTTTTTCTCAACGTAGGTACGTGTGATTGGACCTTTATAAATGCAACTCCCTAAAAATAACTATATTCCCTAAATGCAAAACTAAGCGTAAAATACATTATATTGTTCTCGAAATGCAAACTATCAAATGCTTGGTTGCAATTAAGGAAATTTGATAGTATATAAAGTATCATTGCTTTTTCATATCATAGTCAAAATATTAAAAGTCTTTTTGTATTGAAATATAGTATGGAACCTATTCAAACACATACAAAGAATTCAAATAATTTGTACAAGTCGTCAACTTTATTAAAAAATATTTGAGCATAACAATGTTATTTATTGGACCATTATTATGGTTATCATTAGTCGTATTCTCATTACATCGCACAATTATCATATATGGAGGAATTTTAATTCCTTATCAGCCGGGTTTTTTACTTGGCATAAATACTTCTATTAGATATCTTATTTTGCATTCATATTAACCTTTTCTGTAACCGATGTTGTAGAGGCCAGTTTAAGACATTACAAAAGTAATAATATCCAGCTAAATGGGCTTGAATTATCAAATCTTATCAAGTTAGGGATTGATTGAAAGGAGTATTTTAGGAGTTATAGTTTCAGCTCTAAATAGACCAAGTGGGCTTAGCATGGTGTGGATATGGCTAAGTATTGTTGTAATAGTGCCATATTTATTAGCAACTGCTGATATTTCATTACATTCTTGGGTCACAGCAGAAGTTATATTACAAGAAGGTCAAAGTAAAATTTTAAATAATGCAATTCAAATAGATCCGAAATGTGGAAATACTGGAAGTGATTTTGGTAACATAGATTACTTGTGCTCATGCGGAGTCTACTACCACACATGCATTAAGATATCCAAATAAATTTAGGAAAAATATGACCACAAACATTATCGGCTATGATATGAAGGAGGGATTGGCCATCATGCCACGATTAAATGATACAATATGGAATGGGAATTTTAAATCATATACTGTTTCGACTTTATGCAACTTAAAAGGTATTGGCAGTGCACAAACCAATTTTTCATGTCCTTGCAGTCTTTATGGAGTGCATGCTGACGCACATAATGTTTCAACTATAATTGCATCATTTGGTTACGGTGTTAGCTATTATGACACTTTAATTCCTGATAATGCAGGTGAATTGGGAAAATTGGAATGGATCGTAACCGGAGTATTCTCCAAAGATCCTTCAACGACATATGATGATGAATTTGTAACAGAAGTATATGGTTCTAAAGTTATACTTATATACTGTAGCACTAAGATAACGGCAAGCATATTATCTATCTTTAAGAGTAATTGGAGTGTAAAGCTTGATGAACCTTTAGACGCTAACACAACTCGTACTATGAGTTATGGAATTCATGATATGTCATCTGTGATAAAAATGCACTTGAAGATGTTTCTTTCAGTGGGTCTAGTACATCTGTTGCGCAAGAAGCTGAATATCAGCTAAAACTTGGAATTGGTGGCATGATAGCAAGTGTTGCAGTGAGTATTGTTGATCAAAGCCCCGGAACAGTATCTATTGCTGATAGCATCACAGTAACGCGAATCGGAGCAATGCCATTAATATTGTATGGAATAGCATTAGTTATCATTCCAATAACAATCGCTGAATGGATATTATTAAAGATTAGCAAATATACTAAAGGAATTGATTCGAATGGTTATTCAGTTATTGTGCAGACCGTACTTGCTGAAATGATTATCATTACCGATAGGATAGTATATGATGCTATAAGAACTCCTTCTTGGAATGCATACTTTAAAAGCATTGAGTTTCAGCGGCGATTACTTAGCCAAGACCAAGCTGGTATAGGGTATAAGGATGGTCATTTTGGTCTTATTAATGGTATTGTTTCATCGGCTAAGTACGTTGTAAATTCTGAAGAGACCTGAATTACATTTAATATGATCTTTATCGTTTCTCTAAATTCATTTTAGAATTTAAATTAAAAAATATATTTAATTTTATAATATACTTTTTTTATTATTATTTTTTAATTTTTATTATAGTTAGAAGGTTTTTTATACCAGATTTAAAAAGCTATTTAAAGCTATTTAAAGAATTAGTAATATGAAATTTTAAGTTATAATTATAATACTAGCAATTATTGGTATAAAAATGGATTAGTATAAAACTAGTAGGTGTTCGCGCTTAGTCTTTTTAAAGAGCATACTAAAATAAATTAACAATATTGCGTGGTAAATAAAATAATAATTTTTATACTGATAATAAATGTTATTGAAATCTTATACTCGCTCACCAAGCTATTAGATTAAAGAGTGATAATTAATGATAAATATGTTTTCCAATTTTAAGTACGCTAGTTCTATTCATTAAAGATATAGTAAAGTATTATTTTTAAATAAATAACGTTGATAATATATGCTATAAAATCAGAATAATTTAAAGTAAACAAACATAAGAATTTTAATTTCTAGCACTATCCAGTTTATTTTATTATGGTAATTAATTCTGTGAATAATAAAATAGTTTATTAAATTTATCGATAGCAAAGATTTTTACACATAAGTTAATCGACATGAATAATGCGAAATTAAATAATGGATATGAACTAGAACAGTTTAAAGGATATCCGCTAAATGGGAAATATAGCCACGAACTAGCCACGAACTTGACTAATTAATTTAAAATATGCCTCAATAATAGCTGAATAGAGGAATATAAATGAAAGGAGTTAAAGAAAATACAATAAAAAGATAAATGCCACGAACTCATAATTATTTTTGCGATCAATTAATAGAATAAAATGAAACCAAATAAATAGTCATAAGAATAGCATATTTAAATACATTAATTAAAAAAAAGGCTTTTTATATTCATTAATAAATAAAACTAAAGATAGAGTGTGGTGATGAATTCATTAATAAAAGTTTCTAATACCGCATTACTGAAATAATTAATGAGAAAGAACTAAATAAAACTTATAGAGTGATTGTGAATGTTATGAATCTGAACTAATAAAATTAATGTGGATAAAATAAATCAGAGATAATCACATTCGAGTGATTGAATACACGTTTATTAAGAATTATAGAGTGTCAAAATTATAGTTGTTAGACGAAACGCGAAAATCTTTCGTCAATTAAAATCTTAAATGACAAAATAACGAAACTGACGAAACTGTAAAGGGTTACAAAACTAATAAAAGACAAATATGCAAATAGATATTATTGAAAATAATTAAAGATTGTGTATAAAAAAATAAACTAACAACGACGGAAATTTATGACAATAATTACAAAAAAAATTTTATTGTATAATAGGCGTTTGAATTGTTCAAAGGGAGTTAGAAATTAGTATTTATATTGATTACACTAGTACATTACATATCAGTTCTAGTGCTTACTTTGTGATCTTAAATCTATTTTGTGCCAGTACTGTATGTTTTAATTCATTTTTTGTGTTATTCCATAAGTACTATGGCTTTTTGAAGGTGGATCAGTGGTGGCAAAAATCGATCCTCGGTCCCGTGATTTCCGAGCTTTTTTAAGCTCCGTAAATTAAGAGATATCGGAGAATTCTAATTACAAACCAGATAGTTTAATTAATTATTTTACTAGAAAAAATAAATCAACAATTAGCGTCTTATTTATATATTGTTCTCAATCCGCAAATATGCCATAAGAAGTTTATTAATCAAATATTTTAATAAATCTTTCCTGATTTAAAATTTTACCATGAAGTAAATCTAATTATAGGATTATTCACGATTCATATCAATATATCAAACTATATTGTAACTGTATTAAATTGCCTATCGATATGTTTTTATTGCAAACAAGGCTAATTTTGTAGTAGCGAAGCTCAGAATTATTAAGCACAGTATATAAAAAAATTAATAGTCACTATTATTACAGCACATTGTTTAATCAATATTAAATTACATTTGCAACTATTTCAACACTTTATTAAAATTTTTTATTGCCTTATTCAATATGTATGATACAAAAATTTATGCCAAAAACTGTTCTTGTCAATTAACTTAAAAAAAGTTTTAAATATAAGTTGGACTTTCTTAATAAACATATAAACTTAAAGTTCGTTTTGTGAATTTTTTTATTATATAATTATCTTATGTAACTTATCAGTTATAGCAAACCTGTTTATTGAAATATACTGTATCTATACAAAAATAAAAAATAAAATTGAATATTTGCATTTTTAATACCATATTACACAAGTAGGCACTAATAAAAAAAAAGTTTAAATATAATCAGGAGTTAATGATGTCTTAATAATTATAATAAAGTTCAAAGTATTTATAACATTTATTTAAAGTGATAAACACAGTTATACCTTTGAAATTGTTCGAGAACTTGATCCACAGAAGACCTGTTAACATCCAATGAATATGTTTGAAAAAATCTTAGTAAAAAATACATATTTATTATGCATTTATATAAAACCAAGATAAATAGCTTATCGAATTCAGCCAAATAAACTTAGGGAAATTTTTTTAAAGTGTTCTGGAATTTGTGAAAATAGCTATAAAGAGTTTCTACTCGGAATATTTTGGATCTCTATGCCAGTTTTGTCCAATTTTAGAGGTTTTGCCCCAGTTTTGATGTAATTTTATGCTTTGTTTTCCACATATTCTGGTAATTTTGTTGCTATTAGCTTCGCCCATTTCAGAAGTTACAGAGATTTTGGAAGTTTCAGAGATTTTGCCCAGCCAAAACACTGCTTATATCTCAACTTCAATACTGAACAAACACTTTATGCTCATGTTCTTCAACATCATTTCTAGCTTTGTACTAATATTCAAGGTTGTTAGTCTATAATAGTTATTCAGAACAAAACTTTTTTGAAATATATAAATATCTGTCTTTAGCTTTTTTATTACCAGTTTCATTTTATAAAAATCACCAAGATCACTTTGTTTTAACTTACTGTCACCTTCTGCAAAAGTGTTTTTTTTTTAAATTTTTCTATTTACTTCTTTAGCCTATTCATTTTACCAACTTTATTTCATCTGAAATTTTATATATATTAGCTCTAATTCTAGTAATTTTCTTATACTTATCATGCTATTTATTCTCTTGCTGATTTATCTTTCCTTTCTATTAAATATTAATTCTCAGGTCCCAGGAGGTATCCATGAATTTTTTATTACTTTTTTTAATTTTTATTATTTTTTTATTTTATTTTTTTTATTTTTTATTTTTTTATTTTTTTTATTTTTTTTTATTTTTTTTATTTTTTTTTTTTTTTTTTTTTTTTTTTTTTTTTTTTTTTTTTTTTTTTTTTTTTTTTTTTTTTTTTTT